AAATTTTTGAACCTACTACCAAATTCAAAATCCAAACTGTTTTCTTTAACTTCATTCTTAGGCTCTTCATCAATTCTTACAACCAATTCTTTAAAATCACTAACTCTTCAAACCTATAACACAAGAACCCCTTTCATCAACTCAAGATGAACTTGAACAACCAACAAGATTATCATGCATATTGGTACCAAATGATAGCGTTTTTCCCATATAACAATTTCCTATTTTCTGTATACTCAAAATCCTAAGGAAATTGCTTGAAAATGAAATTAAAGCTTGCTCTTACCTTGGAAGAAGCTCACGTCTGGTTTTGGAGAAGAAGATGAGAAAATTTTGTTGAAATGTAGAGACATATCATATTAATTTACCTTAAATTCCACTTAAATGAATAAAATATTCATTTAATTGGGATAAGACCAAATCACCCTTAATGAATCTTCTTAATTACCATAAAACCATGACAACTCATCCTTATCATATTTCAAAGTCAAAGCTACCATAAAACCATGACAATTCATCCTTATCATATTTCAAAGTCAAAGATGAATTATTTTGACTATTAATTCCGAAATTCCCCTTGAATTTTTAAAATTTGTGTTTTAGTCTCTAAATTCCACTGTTTCGATTAAATCTAAAAAAATTGCACAATTCAAACCCAAATTTCTCTGATCTAAAACCCACTCTCAAGAGTAAACATCTATTATGGAATAAAATTCTTTTTAGGAAATTATCACTTAATTCCCTAAACATTTTCCCAAATTTCTACTTTGACCATCAAACTTTCAAAATATGCATTTTGGCCATTATCTAAATTTTTGGGTCTTACAGATATTATTTTTAAATAAATCATTGAACTTTTCAACTTTTCCACTTTAATCACTAAATTCTGAAATTTTACAATTTAATCACTAACCCGTAGTTAAGGATGTTACAGGCTACATGTCACATAAGAATCCTTATAACAGCTATATTGATGAGTACTCACAGGTTGTTTTCTTGTAGATTGCAGCTTTATCTGTGGCATTGTCACATAAGAATCCTTATAACAGCTATATTGATGAGTACTCACAGGTTGTTTTCTTGTAGATTGCAGCTTTATCTGTGGCATTATTCAGAGCTTTGAAGTTTACAGCACGGTATTGATGAGCCTTCTTTTTGGTCTTGGACAGTGTGCTCTTTTCTTTGTTGTTGTGCAGTCGTTTGTAAAGTTGTTTACGGTGTCAATCTTTTCCGTTCAAAGTCCAGATTGTAGAGTTGGTTGAGGTAAAACAATGCTCATTCTCATGTTATTCATATAACCTCTTTCAGGTTTGTGTCCATTTTGGATGTTGCCTCCTTAAAACCTGAGGCTGATAAATATGAAACTTCAAGCCAAGAGGGAGACAGAGTGGGTGGAGGGATATTCAGAACTTCAACATTGATGGTGGCTAATCCAAAGGAGCTTCTGTTGCTGCTTCTCCAGTTAAATCATTCCCATGTAGTGAGAAAGATCATCGTGGGAGTTCACAAAGAAGTAAGGGTGTCTGCTCAACGGGCAGTACCACTCAATCCAGATGTTCTACTTCTGTTGATGAATTGACTGATGGAAAATCAATCTGTAATGTGACTGATGGAAAATCAATCTGTAATGTGCAGTCGGATACATCTTGACAGTCAGTTCCTTTGAATTCTCAGGGGTTGAAGAGGAAAGGGGATTTTGAGTTTGAGATGCAGTTGGCAATGGCTATTTCAGCTACTAATGTTGAAACTCAAGAAAACATTCATGGGTCATCAGATGTGAAAATATTAAATGGTAATAACTCATTAGAAGCATCTACGCCTACAAAGAGATGGAAAAGGATCGAAAGAGCAGAATCTGCTTCTTTCTCCCAAGGACTTTCTACATCACTTGGATCAAGAAAAGTAGGGTCTCCACTGTTTTGGGCAGAAGTGTACTGTGATGGTGAGAACTTGACTGGGAAGTGGGTGAATGTGGATGCTGTGAATGCTATTATAGATGGAGAGCAGAAAGTAGAAGATGCAGCTGCTTCATGCAAAACATCGTTGAGATATGTAGTTGCGTTTGCAGGCAGTGGGGCTAAAGACATGACCCGCAGGTTTTGATTCCTTCCAAGTTACACGTTTGCATTTTAGATTGGGATGCATGTGGCATTCTAAGAGATAGAATTTTGGTAATTGTTTGCTGTGTTATATATATATATATATCTTCTAATTCATTCTTTTGAAGTTTTCATCTATTTCAGTTCAAATGACATTCTGACTACTTTGCTGCTCTTAATGGATAAAGTTAGATCCTCAATGGACCTCTCTTTTTGAATTGCATGCAATGTTATATGAGTGATATTGCATCATTCAGAATGATCTAATTACTATTTAAGTTGGTGAAAGAAAATCATTCATGGGCTAATACCTTTTTTAGAATCACGTCTATATGTTTGATGTGGAAGCAAATTCGTGCTGATTTAAATATGTTTTGATCCTTGGAAAGTTCCTTGAGAAGATGAAGTTGACATCGGTCGTTTTAGATTAGGTACAACTAAATACCTTCAAACTTGTTATGCGTCTAACACTAGGATCAAAATGGGATACATGAGTGAGTTGGTTAAGTGTGAGAAAGCTTAGAGCAACCTCACCGTCCCAAAACTTGGTACCTTTACATTGTCTTAGAGAAGAAAATGACTATAAGGATGGAGTTAGTAAAGTAATTAGGAACAAATGTGTAAAAATAAACTTAGTATCTTGTTAAAAATATTGGGTTAGGATTGTACTAAAAAAGACTAAATTTTATTAGATGCTAGAATTTTTTTTATGCCCGAATTAGCTAAACTATCTGCTTCCCCATTAATACATCTCTTAACAAGCCTAGTTATTACATTGAATTCTATCACTGTCTTAGCAATTGCTTTAACCAAATGAACATAGAGAACCGGGCATGTCTCGGATTGTTAATCCACTTCAACGCAATTGAGGAATCACTCTCTAAAATAAGACTCCCCTAATCCCTCCACACCGAATTCAAAAATAAATCTAAACCAGCTTGAATTGCTTTGATCTCGGCAAGGATCGGGGGGCCTAGTCCGGACGCTTTTGAGAAAAACCCAACATCTAACTTTCAGCATCCTTGAGCACACCACCAATATCACTGCACCTCCAGTCAAAATTAACAGCCCATCCACATTCACTTTAAAGAATCTCGGGGGGGGGGGGGATGCCACTGTGGTTTAGTCAAAACAATCTTCAAAGGGGAACGATGCAAATCAGCCAAGGTTAAGTCCCCCAGAAGGTAATCAAGAGGGATAGTGATATTTGAGTCCTTAGCCAACAACCGTGAAGCCACCCTATACCTAACCAAATAGAACAGATGTTAGAAAATATGAATACTGCAAAATATTATCTTTAGCATTGACAAGAAAATAATAAAATAGGACTGGGGGATTAGTATTTATCAGAAAAGCTCTCAGATGTTTTTGCCTACCACCCAGTTAGTTGGCCATGAAAGGGATTTCGTTTACTTTTTATTTTATTACCAATTGTATTTGCTAATACATTTATAGTACAGGTATTGCATGAAGTGGTACAAAATAGCCCCAAAACGAGTTAATCCACTTTGGTGCGATTCCGTGCTGGCACCTATGAGGCAGTTAGAGTCTGGGGCAACTGGGGGTACAATTAATTTGAAAAAGCTCCATAATAATACCTCAGATGAGCAGGAGAAAATCAAAGCATCTGAATATTCAGGTGATAGTCGTTCGAACCATGTTATGTTAACTGAGAGATCATGTCAAGAAACTTCCACAGAATTCGGTTGTAAGATCGAAGTTGAATCTTCTGTAAAGGACTCTTTTGTTACCACCAGGAGCTCTCTGGAAGATATGGAACTCGAAACTAGGTCACTAACTGAGCCCCTTCCCACTAATCAGCAGCTATAGTGGTTGCTTGGTCCAATCAATGTAGTTCTTAGAAGTTTCCAGCCTAGATGTGCTTTTCTAACTTTCTTCCATACTTCACAGGCCTATAAAAATCATGCATTGTATGCACTTGAAAGATGGCTTACCAAGTATCAGATTCTACATTCTAAAGGTCCTATTCTTGGTTTCTGCTCTGGTCATCCAGTTTATCCTCGTACCTCTGTGCAAATTCTCAAGACAAAAGAAAGATGGCTGCGCGAAGGGCTGCAGATTGAAGGCAATGAGATTCCTGCAAAGTTTTGAATCTATGGTTGTAATTGGTTCTGCATTAATTTTCATTTTGGTTGATCTGAATAAATTACAACTCGCAACTGATTTCCTCAGATATTGAAGCGTTCTGCAAAACCAAAGAAAGCTTGAGTTTCTGAAGAAGATGACTGTGATGAGATTGATTCCAAAGATATTGAACTTTATGGGAAGTGGCAGCTGGAGCCACTGTGCCTCCCCCATGCCGTTGATGGAATTGTGCCGAAGGTGATTGCTGTTACTTTCTTGTGGATGCCATGGAAGTGCATATTCGAATAAACCTTTAACTTAATCATTTGTGTTGATACCTCTGCAATCAATAAACCTTCATTCAAGCAATCAATAACTGGTTGCTAATTCCCATCCTTTTATGGTTACTTCTGCAACTGCTATTTTCCTATCGTTCTTATATACTAAATAGCCAGATTCATTTCGATGGCAGATGAACCATTTCCTTTTACAAGAAAATATTGCTGCAAAACAAATAGTTTTCCAGAATTTTCATCTCAATGTTTAAAGACTCAAGTCCTATCCGAAATTAATTTGAAAACGAATACGGCACTCAAGTCATTCCAGTCCACATAACCATTAATCTTAGAAATTTATTTGGTTTTCCTCTTTAGTTTTTTCGTATCTTTTTTTTTTCTGACGTTGGATCCTTATGTTTGATACTAGAATGAGCGTGGCCAAGTTGATGTGTGGTCTGAGAAGTGCCTTCCGCCAGGGACTGTTCACTGTTAATGTAAATAAACATTGTTCAATTTGAGTTTTTGAGGAGCATTGATCATGTTTGTGCGTCTTGAGTTTGAAGGAGGTTTGAAGTTGAAGATTGCAAGGGGAATGTTAGTGTATGTAAATGCATGGCATATAAGTACACGGTCAACTACTGTGCATGATGGTTGTGCAGCTGAGGATTGGTTTACTGCAGCTGATCAGTTGAAGCAGTTAGTTTGTTGTGAAGTTAGTTACATCATCAGTTATAGTACTAGCTATAAATACTTTCCTTGAGAATTGTAATACACACTTAAAAATAATGAATTTCAAAAGATTTGTTTCTCGTTTGTTTTCTCTGTTCTTACTTACATAGATTAGACATCTATTGCTAATCTTTACATTCACTTAAGGTTGCCGAGGGTATTTGCTGTTGCCAAGAGGCTGGAAATTGATTATGCTCCGGCCATGGTCGGTTTTGAGTTTAGAAATGGTCATGCTACTTTTGTCTTTGATGGATTTGTGGTCTGTAAAGAGTTCAAGGATGCAATACTAGAGGTAACTACATCGAACTTAATGATTGAGATAAATTATTAGACATAGACCTATCAAATCTTACTTGAACTTGGAAAATCCATTCAAACTTGATCCCTAATTCATAGTCGTGGTTCCTCCCTTTTTCCTCTAAACTTATGCCGAAGAAGAGGAGAGAAGAGCCGCTGAAGAGAAGAAACGGAATGAAGCACAAGCTATCTCAAGATGTTATCAGCTTCTTTCGTCTATTATAACTAGACAAAAGTTAAACAGCTATTATGGAAACAGTTCGTCATCACAATCATCATTCAGAGATGTCCAAGATACGAATAATGAGATAAAAGCTCCAGTCGAAAGCAGCCAGGATGGTAGGCAATCTACAGGCCATCTGAAAGGAGATAACATAGGTACTATGTATACCGCTTCATCGGGAGCAGTAGAGGTGAGGCATGAACATGTATATTTAACCAAAAATGAAAGTTTTGATGCGGAGAACTCAGCCAGAACAAAGCGATGCGAGTGTGGATTTTCAATCCAAGTGGAAGAAATATATCATGTTCGGTGGTCAATCCAACAGTGGAAGAAATGTCGGACACCAATTTTGCATATAAGTGGACCAAGACTGTTACTGGGAAGCTGCCTATTTTGACAACCTTAAATTGGATATTGCTTTCTGGTAATATAATACCACATGGATAATTTTCATTATTTGCTTTAGCTAAGCTGTTGTAAGTAATCATGGGCCATCTAAACGTTGAAGACGAGTTTTGTTTTTACCTTTGTTCCCCCAGGTGAGCCGAGTTTGGTGGTTTTACAACAATCTCCCGCTAGGATGAATGAATGTATTGAAGATGCACATATTGGAAGTAAGAGCTTGTTGAAGTTAGAACTAGCTCAAAAGTTTGAAAGAAGCATTCGATTATGTACATATTGGAATGTCAGGAGCTTGTGTCGTTTCTTGTAAATAAAATTCGGATAAAAATGGTTATTATATTAATACTAATATAACGACTCCTTATCTTACTATGATAACCTCATTTCAAGATGTTACTACTCATTATCATGAATAAGATTTTACTTTTTTTTAATAAAAAAAAGCCAATAAAACTCCCTATTATTTATTGTATTAATCATTATTATATAATGCAATTTTAATCCACCAATTTATATTTAACACGTAATTAATCCATCTACAAGTACGGTCTCAAACTTTTGGCCAGCACAACAATTTTCACCAATTTTTAACCATTTACTCTTCACAAAGAAGTGAGTGATATTGCATAAACTTCTGGATTAGAACATTTAATTTTGTTAGTGATTTTACTACTCATAATCAGATGTCAAAGAAGAGAATGGAATAAAACACACTAATAAGAGTCTTCACTAAGGAAAAAAAAAAGTAATGTCTGATCTCGCATAAAATTCCGGATTAATACAAATTTCAACTTGATTTATTTGAGAGCTTTTAAGTGGAAAAAAAACATTGGATAATTCAAGCAAAGTCGACAGATTTTCCAGGAAGTAACGAATTCTAACATCAAACATTAGATGAATTCATCACTTGCCTGCAACTAGTTAAAACCTGTGTGTACATATCTACAATATAAATTCCATTTTTATATTGCTCCTTAATTTTCATCTCCATCATCTCCATCTGTGCTATCCGATGGCTTCTGATTCATCATGAACCTCCAGCTATCTCCTTCCTCTATTTCCCATTTGTTCTTTAGTTCGTAGATCGCTTTGGACACCGCTGCAGTGACAGCAAGGTTGTTATCTTTCGCCAGCCTCTACACAGATGAATCCAAACCAATAATACCAACTGTTTGTATCGGGGTTAAAATTTGGCAAAATTACCTGTAATGCGCCCATGCCGGCGTTTCCTAGAGTCCACATGGATGGAGCTGCTGCCAGTGCATTAGCCAATGCTTGTCTGCATCACATACAAAACAGAAACCAACCACTTTATGTATAGGAAAGGTGATTTATCAAATGGCAAGCTCCACAATGGGGCAAACTTTAAGGCTTCACCAACGTTTAGAGGGAAAAAAGAAATGGAAAGCAACAGTGGAAACTTGTCAATATGAAAGGAACTTACAATTTGTACACCTTGCTCACCATCATGTCATGAATATTTTTCATAAACTGCACAACCAACAAAATCATACGAACATAAATGCTCCATGGACGCATAGAAACATAGAATTGATTACCTTCTTTATCGAAAATGTGGGTTTTATTCAGACAAAGTGCTGAGTGCATTATTCAATATTACATCTATTTTATAACTATGATTCAGATCTAATCTTATATGATCCAACAAAATAATCAGCATAATATTAAAAAAGTAGTTGTCCCTTACCTCCAAAGCCATTAAGGCCTCCTCCATTGCACGCTGCTTAGCACGGAAGTCAGCACGGCGCAGATCAGTCTGGAAGACAGCACCTCATATATTTTATTATTCATAACCAGTAGACTACATTCTCAAGACACATTCAACACACTTGCAAATTAATTAATGTTTTGCCTTCCTGAGATATAACTAGAAATTTAGTTCTTCAACCTTTCTGTAAATGGAAATGAAATTAAGTGGTTACCAAATATAAGCAACTAATAAGCTAACAGTAAGAAAAGATATTAAAGAATTACAATAAGGCATGATATAAGTACCTCCAATGCACCATCACTCCAATGTTTATCAGCTGCAGTTTTCAATCTAGATTGTGCCTTGTCTCTTAAGACCTGAAAAGATATAAGGTTCTTCATGAAATTAAATCCATGATACCTTCCTGGAATATGAACCTACTAATTAAATACACATACAGTGGCAATATGATGAAGACATTCAGCCCTTTTGGCAATATGATGAAGACATTCAGCCCTTTTTCTTCACACCTCGGTCGATCTTTTCCGTATCTTCTCTTGCCCTAACTGCATACCATAAATTCAAATCATGATGAAAAACAATGTTGGAAATATCACAAGAATTCTGTGCACATCATAAAAATGAAAAAGTCAATCTCAGTTAAAACATTACCAAATAAATTCGTTTCACACACAGCCTCATTGAGAACTCCCTTAAATAATTTACGTAATTACTACATTAAGAGCTTACCATCGAGTTTAAGAAATCCTGACCCAAGAATAGCCACATCCCGACGAGCACGGGCGTCCAACCTCATTATTCCACTGAAGAAAACAGGAAAACAGCAAAACAGTAAGCTATAGTATACCCAACATAATAAATAAGGGCGTGCGAACTTGAAATGACAACAAGATGTGATTAACCAACATCTGATTAAGTTCAGGGGTTTTGCGAAGTTTGCATTAGCACTGAAATAAATGTTAGTAAACTTATGCTAAGAATATAGAGCACGTCAACATGAATGTAATACTAAACACGAGAATTACACCAACATCTGATAATGATGGCAAGCTATTTTGACATAAATACGGAATTGCTGATTATTACCGAGATGAGCAGAACAATGTCATTACGGGCCCTTTCATTTACTTATCGCACGCAAATCTACAAGCTTCAGCCAAGCCTTGACTTGAGTGTATTTTTCTCCCATGCATGCCTGAATGACCAACTTCATCTTCTGCAATCTGTGAACTTACTCGCAACTGTATGCATTCAAAAAGTTCAGGATGGGCCATATCAAGAAGCAAGAAAACGAGATATTACTTCGCTAAATTACAGTTAGTGCCTAATTTACATTGTTATAGCTCGAGAGAAGAGAGAATAGTAGAGAGAAAGTTAGCAGAAAAGAAGGAGAAAATTAAGAGGAATTGGAGATTTCATTCATTCAAGTCATGAGGAAGATGGCCTCAGCATTCAAGTATTATTTAGTTACAATTGTGTATTGAGAATCTAAGGATGCCAGGTGGCTGTCCTTACTAACTAACTCATTCTTATCTTTTCTTCTCTTTTGCAGGTACTGGGCTTTCGCACTTGGGTTGCTCCAACTCAGAAGGGTAAGTTACTCACTGCCCCTCACATGCTTCAATTCTCAATTCATTCTCTTCAATCCCTAACCCTCGCTCCTCAATCCCCCAATTCTTTCTCGTTTCCTTGTCTCTCTTCTTCTCCTACTGTGACAATACCTGCCCCTTGAGACGATCCTTGTCTCCAAGGATCAAATACTGGAAATTGACCCTTGAGAACCAAACAATCTTCCCAAGTATCATTTGCTTCATCCAGATTCTCCCATTGAACTAAAAGCTGAGTCATGGGTTTGTTGTTGCGATTAATAATACGCCTGCCCATTATCTTTAATGGTTGGATTTTGAATTGACCATCTTTATCTACTGCAGGAGGATTTATTGCAGAGGTCGATGATTCCCCAATGTGTTTCTTCAGTAGGCTCACATGGAATACAGGGTGCAGTCGTGATGTTTCTAGTAAGTCCAATCAATAAGCAAATGCTCCAATTTTTTCCACTATCTTGTATGGGCCATAATACTTGGCTGCCAATTTCAGATTCTTTCGCAGGGCGAGTGAAGTTTGTCTTTAAGGCTATAATTTTAGGTAAACCTTGTCCCCAATTTCGAATACTCTTTCTGATCTTTTCTTGTATGCCTGTTGCTTCATTCTATTGCAAGCCAATTCCAGCTACTGTTTGACAAGTTGTCGAATTTCCTCTCTATTATTCATCATTTCATTCACAGTGTTTACTTGAGAGTCTCTATGCCAAACAATAGTTGGGGGTTTGTATCCATATAGGGCCTGGAAAAGGGGTGAGTCGTAGGGCAGTGTGGTAGGTGGTGTTGTGCCACCACTCTGCATGGGATAACCACTTAGCTAATTGTTTAGGTTGAAAAAAACAGAGTCCTCGGAGGTACTGCTCCAAACACTGATTGACCCTCTTTGTTTGACCATCTATTTCTGGATGGTAAACATTATTAAACAGAGTTCTAGTGCCCAGTTGTTTCATCAGTTCCTTCCAAAATACACTAGTGAATGTCTTATCTCTGTCTAAAATGGCCATTTTAGGCTGACCATGCAGTTTATAAACATTTTCTAGGTATAATTTAGCTACCTCAGCTGCAGTATAAGGGTGAGATAGTGCCAAGAAATGACTGTATTTGGTAAATTTGTCTACTACAACTAGGATGCAATTTTTCCTTAGGGAGATAGGTAGGCCCTCCATAAAATCCATTGTAATTATTTCTCAAGCTTGGTTTGTAATAAGCAGGGGTTGTAGCAAGCCAGAGTTTGCTATATGTTTCACCTTAGTTAGCTGATAAACTGCACAACATGTCACATAAGTAGCCACTATAGCCTTAAGTCTAGGCCAATAAAAATTAGACTTTATCTTATGATATGTAGCTTGTGCTCCTGAATGACCTCCATGTGGGGAATCATGCAAAGTTTGAAGGATTTGCAGTCTAAGACCTCCAGCAATCCCAATATACACTCTTCCATTGTATCTGAGGACACTCTTGGAATATTTCCATCTAGTGTCAGTAGTAGGACTGATAGTCAGGATTGAAATCCATTCCTTAGCTAGCTTGTCCTCCTTCTAGCTGTCTTCTACCTCCTGAACCTAGCTATGTATTAATAATGTTACTCTCATAGCAAAACATTGAGCTTGATCTTCCCATTTTCTGGATAAAGCATCTGCAACCTGTCGACATCGTTTTTCGCCTAGGCAGGGAAAAACTTAGTACTACTTAGGGGTTTTTCTTTGAAAAGGTTTTGAAATGTAAGGAGTCACCATCGACCGTTTGAGTTAGGTATGTAGAATACTTAAAAATTTTCTTTTAAAAAGAGTTCTTAAGAAAACATCATTTTAAAAGGTAAACAATGTTTCCCATAATATTTGAATCCCATGTTGTCATTTTTAGTAATATAGCCCCTAAAATCAGCTATAGTGTTGTAGAGGGTTATTGACCCTGAATAACAATCTGCTCTCCTTGGTGGTCAAAGCTTAATGTCATATTTTTGAAATTCATTAATATTGGACTAAATAATTTCATCCAATCAACCCCTAAAACCATGTCACTTCCACCTAGTTTAAGTAGTCTGAAATCATGTATAAAAGAGTGACCTTGCATTTGTTATTCAACCTTGTTGCATCTAGTTGAACTGAAAAGCTTTTGTTCATTAGCTACAGTAAGGGCCAAAGGGTAACGTGTAGTGATCTGTATTCCAGTATCAGCCCATTGTGGGGTCAAAAAACTGTGGGTATTACCACTATCAATTAAAATATTCAATGGTTTACCTTGAATAGTTCCTTGGATTCTCAATGTATTATGGCCAATGCATCCAGTAATAGCATTCATAGCAATTTCTAGGTTCTCTTCTTACTGTATAAGTTGATCTAAATCATTAGGAAAAACCTCTAAGGGAGTAGTGGTATCTTCTTCATTAATCATGTTTAGGTGTCTCTGTTTACACTGATGACCTGGAGCAAATTTCTCACCACACTTAAAACATAGATTATTTAACCTTCTGTAGTCAGTGTGGTTCTGTTTTTGTGGTAGTAGGAATGTTGTCTTGGGAGGTAATGATAGTCAACTTGGCTTAGAAGCAGTGACTGGTTTGGGTTGGGTGGGTTTTTAAAAGAAGTCTGTATTCTTCTGTTCCCAAACTCAACAGATAATTCATAAAGCTTAGCTTGCTTGCATGCTTTAGACAGAGTTTTAGGATCTAGAGCTTTAACTTTGAGTTTAATGTCTTCCTTAAGCCCACTGATAATAAGTGATACAAAGAAATCCTCAGTAAGGGTAGGATTTTGTAATAGCATGTGAGGTTGTAGCTCTTCAAATCGTTCTTGATAATCCTCAACAGAACCTTTCTGAGTCAACTTTGTAAATTCCTCCACTATATCAGAAAAGGACCAGTCAGTGAACCTGTGACAAAGATCTGCTTCAATCTCATGCCTCGTCACATGGTGTTTCTGCATGATATAACCATCGAACCAAATCTCTTCCTTACCCGTTAGATACATGTGACTACTTCTACCCTCTGATCTGGAGGTACACTACAGAGGGAAAAATGTTTAAGGCATTTTTGGAGCTACCCCTAGGGTTATTAACCCCTTTGAAAAATGGCATTTTAATCTTAGGTCGATGCCACATCGAACCTGAAATATTAAAGGAACCCCCTTGGCCTCGTTTATCAACTTCAGAAACAAACAAAATAGGTCTATATTTACTATTTTCACCCATTTGATTATCAGGCTTAGAACTATTCTTAGGAGCTGTAAAATCATCAGGTTTAGCCTTCAAAATCCCAGGTTCATCAGGTTTATAAGTAAATCGAGACTTATCATTAATCATAGTAACCATAACAGGTTTCTTTCCTTCGTTTTTAGAAGTATTAGGATTTTGTACCTGTTCACTAGCAGAGATCTCTTGATCACCATTTTTTCCCGCAAAAAATTTCAAAATCTCCTCTACATAACTTTGGTTGGTGGTCATCCTGGATTCCAATGAATTGATACGGTTTTCTTGACTCTCCTACCATTTAGGGGATTAGTTTCTTCTTGGGCTTGTTTCACCAACGTAGTTAAATCTTCAATCTATTTTTGTAGTGCAGAGAGGTCAGTGTCAGCCAGATTCTGATTCTTCTTTGGCATACCCACTCAAAAACTTGCTAGAAATTGAGGTTCTGGATACCAATTGTTATAGCTCGAGAGAAGAGAGAATAGTTGAGAGAAAGTTAACAGAAAAGAATGAGTAAATTCAGAGGAATTGGAGATTTCATTCATTCAAGTCATTAGGAAAATGGCCTCAGCATTCAGGTATTATTTAGTTACAATTGTGTACTGAAAATCTAAGAATGCCAGGTGGCCGTCCTTACTAACTCATTCTTATCTTTTTCTCTTCTGCAGGTACTAGACTTTTGGACTTGGGTTGCTCTAACTCAGTCGGGTAAGTTACTCACCTGCCCCTCACGTGCTTCAATTCCCAATTAATTCTCTTCAATCCCTAACCCTCACTCCTCAATCCCCAATTCTTTTTCATTTTCTCATCTCTCTTCTTCTCCTACTGTGACATATATCTGATAATGCAAATAACTAGTGTCATAACCATTTTTTTATAAAGAATACAATTAAATATTATTTTTAAAACGATTATGACTTTAATTTTGAAAAATTGGGGAATTTGGAATTGATTTGGAATAAATTTGATAGGGGTTAAAATGGAGTCGCCATCGACCTTTGGGTTAGGTAAGTCGA